AGAGGGGGGCTTGGGGAGGAGAAAAACAACAACAACAAACATACACAAACAAAAACAAACAATAAAAATAATAATAATAGTAAAAGACAACCAGCCGAACAGCAGCAATAAACAGCTGACATATTAAGACAACTAAGAGAAAATGAAAACAAGAAACAGTCACACACTAAATAAGCAACACAAGACAGCCACGAGAGCTAGAATAATAATTAATTTAAATAAGTAACTGAAAGAAAAGCATCAGGAATAGTTCTACCAGGGACAACCTAAATTTGTTTGTGTGTGTGTGTGTCTGTGTCTGTGTGCGTGTGGGTGAATGTGTCTGTGTGTGTGTGTGTGTACATGTGTGTGCGCATAAGCCTGTTGAAGAATGTAGTTGTTAGTGAGAGTGGGCCACCAATTACTCTTTCACCCACACCCCCCGGCCGTCTGGGAGGGGGGTGGGACTGGGTTCTTAATTTCCAACAAATGGAAATTCGCACAGCTGCTACCCCCGAATCAATATGCCTCCTTCGAATACCATGCTGTCTTTGTGTCCGCTTAGTGATTGTCATATACCGTCCGCCAGGACAAATGGGTAACTTTGTGGAGGAGCTAGACACACTGCTGTCTTCAATCCCAGAGCATGACTGTCCCCTACTTGTCCTCGGTGACATGAACATTCACTTAGACAATTCAAACTCAGCAGACTTCCTGTCTCTGATTCAGTCCTTTGATCTAATACGGGTTCTCAGCCCCCCGACCCACAAAGCTGGCAAGGTGCTTAACCTCGTTCTTGTCCGAAACTGTGCCACAGAGTGCTTAACAGTCACACCTCTACATGTGTCTGACCACTATTTCATTCAATTCACAGTATGCCTACAGGAAAAGCCCATTCTTCCAACACCATTGGTTTCACACCGCAACCTCCGCAACCTGTCTCCCGCTCACTTTGCCTCAGTGGTAGCTTCCACTCTACCCACCCTCAACACATTTTCCTCACTTGAGGTCAATGATGCCACACAATCTCTGTGCTCTACACTAAGCTCGTGCCTGGATAACCTGTGTCCTCTATCCACCAAGCCTGCTCGCCCAAACCAGCACCATGGCTAACTGATCCCATCCGTGGGCTCCGTACTGATCTCAGAGCGGCTGAAAGAAAATGGCGAAAAACCAAAGACCCCGCCGATCTTAAGGGCTATTAATTGCTCCTATCCTCCTTCTCAACAAGCATCAGTGTTGCCAAAACTGCGTTCTATAATGACAGAATAAACAGTGCCACTGACTCAAGGAAATTATTTTCCACTTTTAAAGCGCTACTAAAGCCTCCTCCACCTCCACCACCCACAAACTTGTCTGCTGATACCTTTGCTGCCTTCTTCACAGGCAAAGTGGAGGCTATAACTAGCCAATTATTTGAAACACTCAAACTCAACCATTGTAGCAGTCCTACTACATCTTTTCCCCTGCCCTTCCAGGTCAGTGGTGGTTCACTCTCCTCGTTTACTCCTCTCACAGAGAGCGAAGTATCAGAACTCTTGACCCGTAGCAGTCCAACTACATGCCCACTGGACCCGATTCCTACGAATCTCCTCCAAACCATATCTCCTACTGTGGTCCCGACAATCACTCATGTGATAAATACTTCTCTGACTTCAGGAACCTTCCCGACCACTTTCAAAAGGGCTCGGGTTACACCCTTGCTCAAAAAGCCCTCACTTGACCCAACTCAAGTTCTCAAGTTGAGAACTATCGACCCGTGTCTCTTCTACCTTTTTTATTCAAAACTATTGAACGGGCAGTATTCAAACAGGTCTCAGAATTCCTCTCAGGGAATGACCTCCTAGATCCATATCAGTCTGGTTTTAAGAGTGCCCACTCTACTGAAACGGCTCTTCTGTCTGTAACAGAAGCCCTAAGGTCAGCTAAAGCTACAGCCCAATCCTCGGTTCTTATCCTGCTTGACCTATCAGCTGCCTTTGACACAGTCAATCACATGATCCTGCTATCCCCACTCTCAGCAATGGGCATCTCGAGGAAAGCACTCCTGTGGTTCGAATCCTACCTCTCGGAGTGTTCCGACAATTTTTTGTGGCAAGGACAATTATCCTCCTCCCACTGCCTCTCCACAGGGGTACCCCAAGGCTCAGTGCTAGGGCCACTTCTCTTGTCAATTTACACCACCTCACTGGGGGCGATCATTCGCTTGCACGACTTCGCTTACCACTGCTACGTAGACGATACGCAACTACCTATCCTTCCCGCCAGGCGATCCCACTGTCTCGGCGCGGATCACGGACTTTCTATCAGACATATCTGCATGGATGAAGGCTTGCCACCTTCAATTAAACCTCTCTAAGACTGAACTCTTGGTCATTCCAGCCAAGCAATCTATCCACCATAACATCAAACTACAAATTGACTCTGCAACCATCACTCCAACCAAGGTGGTGAGAAACTTGGGTGTCATGATTGATGACCAGCTGTCCTTTTCAGACCATGTTGCTACTGTCTCTCGGTCATGCCGCTTTTCTCTATACAACATAAGGAAAATCAGGCCCTACCTCACTCAGTACGCCACCCAGCTTCTGGTACAGGCCATGGTTATCTCTTGCATCAACTATTGCAATGCCCTCTTAGAAGGTCTCCCAACTTGTGAAACCCTTACAAATGGTTCAGAACGCAGCAACGCGTCTGGTTTTTGATCAGCCCAAAAGGACTCATGTCACTCAGTGACCTCCACTGGCTCCCCGTGGCCTCCAGAAACATATTCAAGTCACTAATGCTTGCATACAGAGTGACTACTGGGTCTGCACCCATCTGCCTAAACTCCATAATACAAACTTACGTTCCTTCTCGGCCGCTATGCTCCTCCAATGAACGCCGCCTGGCTCAGCCATCCCTTCACACAAAGCAATCCCAGTCCTGGGTATTCTCATCTGTGACACCACGATGGTGGAACCAGCTACCACACGCCATCAGAGCAGGGGCGTCCCTCTCTAACTTCAAGAAGCTCTTGAAAACTCATCTTTTCCAAGAACACTTCCTCTTATAACACCTCTAACTCCTAACCTCTAACATGCACTTCCTGTGCTCTTCTTCTTCTATCCCCTACAATGATCTTGTATTGATTGCACTTTTTGCTAACTCTTACTTCCTTCCCTAGGTATCTACCCCATTGATGTGAAATGTACTGTGAGCTCTTACTAGTATTTATTGCTGCTCTTACTAGTATGTATTGTCAGTTGTAGATCTCTAGTTGATGCTCTGTTGATGCTTGTATGTTGTTCCTCAAATGTAAGTCGCTTTGGATAAAAGCGTCTGCCAAATGAGTAAATGTAAATGTACATGTAATATCAACAACAGATAGCAACAACATGGTAACATAACTGCTCAAATAGAGGCAAACGTAATCAAGTAACTAAAGATTATTGTCCCTGGTGTCGTGGATTTTGTCACACCTGGGTGAGAAGGAGTATCCCTTTGATGAGAGGTAATTAAACACAGAGCAAGGAGAGTTGCCATGGTTACATATGTGGGGGGCAGTTTAGGGTTTCCTGCCCCCTTTTAAGAAGAGTTCTGATAGGCTGTTTAGAAAAATGCTAATCGCTGGTTAATGTCCCTTTTGTCAGTTTAACATTCAGGCACCACGTTATCAGGCTGCAGAATCAAAGGTGCCAGTTTTACGATCAGGCTGCTCAGGAATAGCACTTAGGGAAAGCGACCTTTCCACCCCACTTCTGTTGGGGTCTCTTCAGCCATTTGTAGAGGGTTGATAATCAAATCCCCTGCTTCTCTCTGGGAGAGAAAAGAGGAGTTGAGTCTCTAAATTATTTAATATAAAATGCACAAATCCATACTGTTGGTTCACTACACTACACCAGGAATAACATTTGTCTTTTTGCAACTTTGGAAGCAACTGGACAGTTAATAGTAATTTACCAGCAGTAGTAGTTTAACCTGGTTACATGTGAACATTTTTCTTATTCCTTCTTTGTGTAATTTAGTTAACTTCATGTTTTCTTTTCTCTAAAACGACAATGTTAACATAACGTTACCTGGTCAGTCCTTGTTATTATTTTTTACTTATTTTCTTTTTTGTATAATTCAAAATGTATGCTTCATTTTATGTCCAGCTATGATATATGATGAAACTGAAGTTTGTCTGTTTGATTTTAAAGAGATATTAGCAAATTATCAATACATCTTAGAATATTATTCTTGCCATGTAATCAGACATCTTCCTAAAACATTTCTGACTCAGTACTGCATATATAGTAAGTATTTCTCTGATAAACTGAGACAATACAGAAAATCCTGAAAACATATTTGTAATTGGACTGGTTCTTTTTTTATTGTCAGTGGTAAACAGTGAACACCAATTTACTGAGGCAGGCTGACTCAAGCTGATAGACAAAGTGTTTAGGCACTAAACATTAAATTTAGCAGGGCTGTTTAGTTCAGTTTGGTGAAGCATACATTGTTTCCAGGCTCTGTAGTCAGGATACAGTGACTGCTGCTAGCATACAAAAATCTCACCAACGTGTGAGTTGTATTGTAAAACCCCACAGTACAGCTGAACTCAAATAAATATGCTTTGTTTTAGGAAATCGTCATACTACTTTGAGAGTACACCACTGAACTGGACTGAAGCTCAGAGCTTCTGCAGACGGATCTACACTGACCTGGCCACCATAGAAACCTATACTGACGTCTATTCTGTACTCTACTACAGCTCATCAGGCTACACAGGCAAGTTCTGAAATTGGAATCACACACTGTGCATAACATTAACATAGTGTATATACACTGAATCATACGAACAACATCCAAGTTTTTGTTAAGCTTACTATGATTACATAAAATTATAAAATATTATAATGTGGAATGTGAAAGAACAACAATGAAAAATAAAGGAGACACATAATTTAAGGGATGTTCAGTGAAGTCATTCACAATTTAATTCAATTGAGCAACAATTTTAATTCCAGCTGTTATATAATGAACATCTGTTTGAAAAGGAAAGGCTTGGATAGGCCTCTACGGTGGAGGCTGGAGATGGTCCCTGAGTAACAGCAGCTTCTATGGTAAAGGAGAGACAGTGTTTAGAAACTGGGCCCCTGGATATCCCTACAATCCTTACGGACAACAGAGCTGTGTGATGCTTCAAAGCTTTTACTATTACTATTACTACTTCAATGACTACAATGGAAAGTGGTTGGACGTTGATTGCAACTACCAATTCTTCTCTGTATGCTACAACGGTGAGTTTTCTTATAGTGTAAGAATTAACAAAAGGCTAAATAGATCTTCTGCATAGCACATTGTTAATAAATTCTCTCAATATATTTCCAGGTTCAGTAAATGGCAAATCATCCTTTGTAAAAGTCAACACACCTTTGAATTGGATTCAAGCTCAGAGATACTGCAGGGAGAATTACGTCGATCTAGCCAGGTACAGTGTGCACTGATGAAGACTCTAACACATACAATAGTTCAGTACTGAACCAACTACTTAACAACTACTATCTGTTCTGTTGATGAAACTTGGCTTATTCAGTATTCTAACAGATGATAGGAATCCCAAAAGGATTGGATGATCTTCCCAATTGTTTTATTTTTGTCCAAATGTTGTATTTGATACTTTGTGTCATTTGAATCCTTCCTGTTTTTGTTGATTTATTATTAATGTTTTACATGTTTTATAGTTTTATAGTTATATATTTTTCATTGTTAGTTTTACAGATTTATGGCACTTGTAGCTGAGTCACGTAGTATGATAATTATGATGATGATCATTATGATGATTACAAACCATATTAGTGACAGAAGTATTGGGCTGATTGTATATCTTAATTGTAAGATGATTATTCTGCACTGACTTTAAGATGCTAGTTAACAGCTAAGTTGTCCAGGTGACTGAACACGTTACCAAATCCTTAAATAACCACATAAGCTGTAATATTATATATGATGTACTGCAGTGTGATTTATTATTATTTTTTGTTATGTTTTACCTCTTCAATTATTCTCCACCCACCCTTGATGTGTATATGCTACTGTTTCTCTCGCAGTGTACGAAATCGGGCAGAAAATTTTGCCATCGCAAAGTTGGCAGCTTCTGACTCTGTGTGGATCGGTCTGCACCAGGAACCATTGTGGTCTGATGGGAGCCCCTCTGTGTTTCAAAACTGGGCCAGTGGGCAACCAGACAGTGCAGAGCAGTGTGTCACCACAGCGTTCAGAAACTCAGGACGGTGGTCAGATGATAACTGCTCCCTCACTTTACCGTTCATCTGCTACTCAACAAGTAATGCATTTTATTTCTACTCACATACTGTATAAAGATTATTTTTTGCATTAAAGTCAGTTTAGTTATATACAGTATCTCACAAAAGTGAGTACATGTACGCTAGGTTAACATTAAAATCTATAGCTTACTGAAATATGTCTCAAATGTATAATACTGTTTAAATTAAGAACATACAGTAGATTGAACCTACTGTACAATATTAAATCAATTAACTGTATCAATAAAGTGGTGGTGGTGGATCATCGTGGGCGGCGCGGTGGTGCAGTGGTTAGCACTGTCGCCTCACAGCAAAAATTGTCTGAAATTGTCCTTAGGTGTGAATGTGAGTGTGAATGGTTGCTTGTCTGTGTGTGGCCATGCGATGGACTGGTGACCTGTCCAGGGTGTACCTCGCCTTTTGCCCAATGTCAGCTGGGATTGGCTCCAGCCCCCCCGTGACTCTGTACGTAGGTAAGCGGTTGACGATGGATGGATTGTGGATCATCGTTGGAAATAGCAATTGTGTCAACATGATATACCAAATTAAATGTGTTGAATCAAACAATCTGATGAATTAAAAATCTTGTCAGTGTGACTGTGTCAATCTTAGGGTTGGGTATCGTTTAAAATTTTATGGTACCAGTTATGGTGGTTTTACCACCCTTAAAGTGACACCGATACGGGTAGTGTACTTCACTCGCATAAAATGGGGGCGGCTGTGGCTCATGAAGTAGAGTGGGTTGCCTGATAATCGGAAGGTCGGCCTTGGTGGCTGTTCTGCCAGTGTATGAACGTGTGTTCAACTGAGAACTGTTTTAGCACTTATGCTCAGTGAATGAATGTGTGTGAATGATGACCGCAGATGTAGTATAAAAGCGTTTTGAAAAGACTAGAAAGACGCTATACAAATACAGAGCATTTACATTTCAAAATGCCACCTGTTGAAGCCATAGTAGGTGATTGGTAGCCTATTATTATTTTTATTAATGTAATGTTTTGAACAAGCAAGGTGATCTCGTTATTATTTTTTGTTGTTTCTAATAACATAGAAGTTATAGAAGTATTGTAAATTGTATCAGAACCTAATAGTTCATCCTCACAGGTAGTATTATACGGGGAAAGACTACAGCTTGCAAATGTTTTTCATATTTGAATGAGAGAGGAGGAGTGAAATAGTTTAATGACCAAATACGTTGTGGGAAACAAATTTAAGGTAATTTTAAATTAAAGTATCAAAAAAACTACATTAAGAGTCACAAACAGAGGAAAAGAGAGGCTGCACGTCCAGCCGATCAAACCAACTACACCTGAAGCAGTCGCAGCTGCTGCCGGAGGCTCCTGAGTAAAATCACTGCTGCGCGACAAAAGCGTTTACTTTATGTGATGAAATGCAGTGATCAATCGGTGAGAAGTGATGTGAATAGCAAATAAATGTACAGAAGAAGAAGAAATGTTAAATTATACCAGAAGATGAAACCAATGGAGATCCAAGCCTGTGGTGATAAACTTGCAACAGTGACAAACATCCCTGAGATCGCAGCCAAAGGCGAGCGGCTGTTAAAATCACGCATGGCGCGTACAGACCTTTTTATACAGTTTATGGTGAAGGCACATAAGGGGAAGAAAGGCGTGCTCTTATCTTTTTTCTTTGTGTTGCTTGCGTGTGTGGCTGCAAGCAAAACCATACAAATTGTCAGAAGTGGTTTAACCAGAACCCAAAAGCAAACAAAGACGGGAGGCCTTTTCACAAACTTTATTGCGAGGCAGGCAAGACAAGGTGGGAGTGAGTGATTCAGCTTGGTGGCAGGCTCGGTGGCAGGCAGGGTGTGCTCCTCCAGATAAAAGAGGCAGGCATGGGCATGAGGGAAGGCGTCCTCTCCAGAGATATACGACATAACAATCCAGCAAAGGCTGAGGAGAACTGCAGGGCTTATGAAGCAGCACAGAACGACATGATATGGATCAGGTGTGCTAATCAGTCTGCCAGACAGGTGAGTGAGCCATCCCCATGCTTCCCCACCAGTCACGCCTCCTGTCAAACTGCAAGGCTAGAAAGAGAGGTCGAGCAACAGAAAAACACAGACAACCACATACCGACACTCCCAGCATAGTCATAGTTGAGACCTCGTGACACAAATAGTCATTTTTTGCTGCGATCTGGTTACAAAAAGTACCAATTGAAGTACTGGTTCGATTTTACTTGATACTGGGCTGTTTCGGGAGATAACATAAAGGTATCGAGTAGGGATACCCATCCCTATTAAATCTAAACTGTATTTTGCTAATGTCCTTCTTTACTTGAAATCATGTACTGTATTGGCCAACATACTGAACTCCTTAATTTCCCCATAGTTGTTCAACTTTAAGCCCTAAGAATTTTTAATTCTTCATTTAGTGTTCATTATATATGTCCTGTGAAACTCATACCATAATTTGTTTAGGTGACATTCTTGCTAATACAAATGTGTGTCTTAAATAATTGTTTCTCTCATAGCTACCATAAGATAGAAAATGGATCAACCTTAAAATCCAGATGGAACATGAATAAATATTCAAGCAATTCATTCCCTTCTCTTCTTCTGTCTCAGCTCCTCCAAAAACAGAAGACTTCAGAGCAATACAGCAAGCTGAGTCCAGTATCACTCTGCAGTGGAATAAAGTGAACAACAGCTTCAGCTTCATTCTCCAGTTTAATGATGCAGAGATCAACATCAATGCACCAGCTGGAGATGGACGAGTAACTCACACAGTCTCATCTCTCACTGCTAGAACTAGATACACATTTACTCTCTTCTCTGTGTTTGAAAACATCAGAATCAGTGGAGTAAACATTACTGCAGTTACCGGTAATATATGTCACTTTATTTCTATGCTCTGTATCTGCTTAGCGAGCCATCATCTGCTTTTCAGAGCACCAGTGTAAAACTAAGATGTATCTACTGGGTATAATATTCATTAAAGGAATGTGCTACTTAACAACATGCACTTTATTGCATGTTAATTTACTCAGCAATGTTTTGGCCAACACTGTAAAATTATTTTTACATTAAGAATGATTTCTTTTTAAACTTTTGGTGCATTGTAATTATTCATTTATAGTGGAGTACATCTCTGTTGTCATATAAAGCCTGATGGATATGACTACAGAATGTGACATCTGGATCCAGAAAAAAAACATTCATACTCAGTAATACAAATAATTGTTTCACTTGCTCTGTTCCTGACAGACAGCTTTAGTTTGTATTTATGTGAAGATACAAAATGAACCATCTTTAACTGTCAGAGGGAACATTGTCACTTTGTTAATATAGCTTTCACTACTCTGTTTGTCTTTTTCAGCTCCTCCAAACGCATACAACTTCATTTCAACAGCACAAGATGAGACCAGTATCACTCTGCAGTGGAATAAAGTGAACAACCTCAGCTATATTCTCCAGTTTAATGGTGCAGAGATCGACATCACTGCACCAGATGGAGATGGACCAGTAACTTACACAGTCTCATCTCTCACTCCTGGAACTACATACGTATTCACTCTCTACTCTGTGTTTGAGAACGCCAGAAGCAGTGGAGTATACCTTACTGCAGTCACTAGTAAGTTGTTTGACTTCATTAATGTTTATTTAACCTGGTTAAAAATTTACATCTTATAACTTGGGAAGCAACTGGACAGTTAATAGTACTACAGCAGTAGTACTTTTTCCATGTTACATTTGAAAATTTTTCTTATTCCTCCTTCATGTAATTAATTAACTTGATGTTGTCTTTTCTTCTTCTTTTTTCATGTTGTTCTGAGCACAATGTTAACATAACATTACCTTGTCATTCCTTGTCATTATTTTTACTTATTAGGATTTTGTATAAATTGAAAATTATTGCTGGGCAACAATTAAGCATTTTAATCGTGATTAATTGCATCATTTTCCGCTATTAATCTCATTGTTATGTGCAAAATTGAATAATAAATTCTAAAGCAGTGTATTTTAATTTAAATGTAATACCATATATACAAAAGTGCAATAACATGTGGTTTGCAAACACTATAAACAAACAAGGTGCTTTTTACCAGCAGTATTCCCTTTACACAGTAGCAATAAAATATTTCTTTTAAATCTCTATCTAAGCATTAATGTAATCAAATCAAATATCAAACCAAAGCTATTTGCCACTGCCGGGGCATTACCTTTTATCTAGCTTGTTAAAACAAGTTACCATCAGAGTTCAGAGTCACAATCATAACGTCATAACAGGCTCCTTCTGAGCAACAGGTTAACATTTTTTCTGAACACGTATCAGCAGAAACATTTTTCTTTTATCAGGGAGCATCATCAACAGTCTGTGTTCAGTAGCAAGTGTCCCTGTTAGAGTGAGGTGAGGTGGTCGAGCACAAGGCGTAGCAAAAAGCTGTCGCGACAGTTTGTCTCACGCCCGCCAGCTTCCAAAGTTAAATTGTCTTGAACTTTCTATAGGCGACACGGAGCACAGATCATTGGAAGAGAGACTGATCCTCACTGTTTGTGAGTTTCCAGAATCTATTACTGTTTATTAAATAGGACATCAACAGGAGGGAATTTACATGGCAGAGCATCCCCACAAAACTAGATGAAGGCCTATCAGGTAAAGTTACCATCCATAGAGCGCCTGCCGTTTACTTGCAGAACAATGTCTTTCTTCTCCCACACGCTGCATTGAAGCCTCCCTTCGCTGCTTGTTTGGGTGGGTGATTTGCAGGCTGATCAACATCCCACCCCTCCTGTGACCCATGGTTTGACTGTATTTGGATTCACAGCCAGTGAGCAACGGACTTTCAAAATCATAATAATAAAAACTGCATTAACGTGAGATAAAATAATTGTCACGTTAATTAACTAATGTGTTAACTCAATAATAACATGTTAACTTGCCCAGCCCTGTTAAAAATGTATGTTTAATTGTATGTTCAGTTATGATATATGATGAAATTGACATTTGTCTGATCAATTCAACTTAAAATATTCTTCTTTCCATGTAAACAATAA